TCCAGTACGGGGGCAACACTGAGGGTTGCGATCCGTTGCCAGACACGGAAAAAGACCAAAACAAAAGAAAAAAAGAAAAAAGAAAAATGCTTTTTAGTTAAAACAGTACAACATTCTCCTATGTAACTGATTTCAAATTCCATGTAAATGACTTGAGTTAAACCTCCATCAAGGGCTGGCTGGTTAGCTCAGTTGGTTAGGGTGTGGCACTGATAAACCATCAAAATATATTTCTAGTTGGATCAAACAATTCAACACAAATTCTCCCTCCAAAACTCCACAACAATAGTAAAGGGATTATTTTAAAGGTATAAACTCACAAGGCCAAAGATGACGAAACAGAAATTTGGAAGACCGAAAGGGTTGCATCCTAAAGCAACAACGTAGGAAGTCAGACAACACCCTCATTTACAGTTCAAAATCCCCAAAAGGCTCACCTCAAACTGGTGGCACCAGGAAGCAGGGGGAGACCTTTAAAATACTCTATAAGCTACAAAAAAAAAATATTTAAAATATGAAATGTGGGGTGTTTTTAGATGTGATTCTAAATCTAAAAACCATTCAAAAGAGAAAACTGATCTACCAAAATGCTATTTAGTGTATAAAGTATTAGACCATAAAAATGACCATGCAAGGCAATCTTAATAATCAGTGGGAAAAATGATTGTTCCATTGCCTTTCAAAATTGTCCAAACATTAAACACTATTATTGAGTTATAAATGTGTGAGGAAATGAAATAGTGTAAAACCAGTACTTAGTATACTGTAACTCAAAGCATTAAGAACAGTACGATTATAGTGTGTTATCTCTTTGCAAAAAAAAAAATTATCATGAATAGTTAGTTTAAGAGTGCTTGCCTCCATCTGATGCTGTTAACTTATGATACGGAATGATCCTATTTTCTATGCCTGGCAAACCGTCATACTCCTTTCTAAGTTTGAATCAACTTCCAACATTTTATTCTTCTGTGCTTTAAATGTTGTAAAATATCTAAAATGTTGTTCCTCTGGGACATCATCTTCATTCTTTCCATTATAACATTTTCCTATTTATGCTGACAAGCTTGCCTTCACTAAGTTCCTCTGGCTGGACATATAGTGTCACTCCAACTGTGCACATCTACGTTCACAAGGTTAACTATTCTATAACTCCATTTATATTTTATTCAAATTTCACTTACAGCATTCATTACTATTTTTTTGCTGCACTTTCATCTTTGTTGGCCAATTTCCTCATTTTTTTGGTAAAATGTCACATGAGTATATCACTGGGAGACAGAGGCCAACTACACACTGCTGTCTGTGCATGATTTCAGAAACAGATGCATGGTAACCAATGACTAAGAAACTTTGGAAGTGACGTGATATGCACCTGCAATTTACATCTTAATCTGTGGACTGAAAAACTAACAGCAAATTTTGTAGTTTATGCAACTAGTTAATACAGCAGAGTATGTAAAATCTTAACCATGTTGTTGGGGGACTGATGTTATTTAACTAACCACAGTAACTGAAATTCGTATATACTGGAACTAGGCAAAGCTAATGACTGCCTGTACCCTTCTCTCCTCTTCATGTTTTGACTTTAAATTTACATTTTTTTTATCAGACAGCAATATTACCATTTCTGCTTTCTTTGTGACAGCATTGTTACTTGATCTTGTTTTGTTTGAGCCTTGTCTCACAAAATAAGACACAGCTAGGTTGTTTATTAATACAATCTGAAAATCTTAATAGAATTTGACACTTTCACAAAATGTAATCAACTTATAGTCTTATTCACACCACCTCATTTTACATATACCTTATTATATACTTGGTTTATCTTTATTAATTTTGCAGAATAGTTTTTTAAAAAATTCTCCCCTTGCTCCTCCTCCCAGATTGATTTACATGTTCTACTTTCCATTATTTTACTATTCATTATACATAAATATATCTTAATATTACAAAAATTAAATAAGTATGCCCTTCCACCTAAGAAGACCTTTACAAATCTAAATCATTAATGTTAAGCATAGGCTTTTTAAAAATTCACACATGAAAAGATGCTCAACATCATCAGCTATCAGGGAAATGTAAATCAAAACCACAATAAGATGCCACTCCACCCCCTCAGGACAGCTATAATAAAAAAAAACAGATAATAAGTGTCAGCAAGGGTGTGGAGAAAATGGAACCCTCATTTTTTGCCTGTGGGAATGTAAAACAGTGCAGATGATTTGGACACTTTCTGGTAGTTTCTCAAAAGATTAAACAAAGTTACTACTTGACTCAGGAATTCTACTCCTAAAGAAATGAAAACATATGTCCACACAAAAACTTGTACACAAATGTTCATAGTCATTATTCATAATACCCAGAAGTAGAAACAACCCAAATGTCTATCAAGTGATGGATAAATACAATGTGGTCGATCAATACAATGGAATATTACTTGGCAATACAAAGAAATGAAGTACATCATATGCTACAACATGGATGAATCTTGAAAACATTATGCTAAGTGAAAAACGCCAGTCATTAAAGACATGTTGCTTGATTCCATTTATATAAAATGTCCACAATAGGAAAGTATAGCAGTTGCCTAGGCCAAGGTGGGAGAAAGGATTGAGAAGAAATGGAAAGTACAGGGCTTCTTTTTGGGGTGACAAATATATTCTAAAATTAATTGTGCTAATGGCTGCACTACTCTCTGGATATACTAAAACCTATTATATACTTTAAATGGGTGCAGTGTATGGGAAGTAATTATATCTCAATAAAGCTGTTAAAAATTTTTTCAGAGAATACCATATGCTATCAAAGAAAAAAAAAAGATCTGTAATTTCACCACCTATAGCCACTGTTTTCAACCCACTTACATGCATATATACATATAAATATGTGACTCCAATGTATGATACATACTCGTTCATTAAGTAGATCTTTTCAAATTAAAGTGAACATCTTTTCATGTCAACAATTACTTTACAACAACCTATTACTTCACTGAATGGCTACACCAAAATTAGTCTATTGTTGGACCATTTTCTATATCAAATTTTGCATTATAAAATAATGCTATTATAAGTAAACATATTGTTCAATCTGCACATATCTTCATAATAAATTCTAAGAACAGTTGGGTCAAAAGATATGCTCAAGACCGATAAGCTCCTAATGAGACTCAAAAACAATGGTGGATGAAAAGTGAATCCTTTCTGGGGATGGAATTCCACAGGTTTGGTGAACAGGGCCCAGATTAGTTTTTAGGAAGCCATCACTAGTTTCCAACGGCATAATCTTATGTAGCTGTGGCTCTGATCCATTCTTCAAAGCAGTCCATTTTAAAATAACATACAAAAAATACTTAATATGCAAAACAAAAACAGGGTATCATTATATACAACAGCAAATAACAAAAAATTATAAAGCAGCTCTGAAAAAAAATACATCAAAACATCAACAGTGGCTCTGATTCACTCATTCTTCAAGGCATTCCTTTTTTTTTTTTTTTTTGTCTTTTTTCGTGTCCGGCAACAGATCGCAACCCTCAGTGTTGCGCCCGGACCGGGACCGGCAACGGGATCGCAACCCTCAGTGCTGCACCCGCACCTCGCTCAGCCAGTGAGCGGGAACCGGTCTGTATGTGGG